CGCTGACTACAGGAAGCCCGAGGCAGAGTTGCTCTGCCCCGGGCTTCCTGGAATCAGCTGCTGATCCGTTTCAGCAGCAGCTGACTTGGGGACGCCTGGGGTTCTTAAGTTGAATCTGTATGTAAGTCGGAACTGGCATCCAGATTCAGCCACTGCTGAAACTGACCGGCAGTTCTGACTTACATACAGATTCAACTTAAGAACAAACCTACAGTCCCTATCTTGTACGTAACCCGGGGACTGCCTGTACTAGATCACATCTAATCTAATCTAATCTACTTAGCCTAAACACTGTCCTTGAACCTGAGTCCTCCCAGATATTGTATGTTACCTCCCTGTTATGGATGGACATCAGGGTCTGTTTAGTATTTATCATATTGCAACCTGCCACAGAATGTGCATCTTACCTGAAGGCAAATCCAACTCCACACCAACCCACATTCCCTCTTGAAAGTCAGTTGGGCCAATGTATCTAATCGTGCCAGTCTTATTTGGGCCGACAGTAACATATTCCCCCTCTTTTAGCCAGTCTGGGATTTCATTGGCATCTTCAGAATCAGAAGTCACTTCCAGTTTTTCATCAGCTGTATTTGCACCATTCTGGCTTAACCCTTGGGCAGTCTTTTCTCTCTCCTTCTCTTCCTCTGTGTTGGAAGAGCACCCGGACTCTCCCCCCAGCATGCACGTAAAAGACTTGAGCTCCGACGTCCTGACTTTTTGGATTTTGAACGGAGAGACAGTAGCACTGGGCTGGGATGAGAGATCGGGCGGAAGCTGAGGTTTGGAAGCTCTCGATTCTGGAGTAAAGGTGGGCTGTGTGTGGTCCTTCTTGGTAGCTTGTCCCATGGACTCCCCCGTTGTTGAAGCCATTAGGTGTTTGGTCAGCAGCTCCTTCTTTGGAGTGGAGGTAGAAACGTTGCTTTTTGCATCAACAGCTACAGAGGCAGCATCTAGTTCCTCACGCCGAGTCACAGGGGAGACCCAGGGCTTTGACTTTAGATGGTCAGTAGCGTTTAGGCCGCTGTTGTCCTTGGCTCTCTCGTTGGCCGTGAGAAGGTCAGAAGCAGCTAGATTCTCTCTCAGAAGGGCAGGGCAGCCCTCCGAAGCACGGTCCATCGGCACTGAAATGTCGGAAGGTACCGGAACAGCCGAGGTGGGTGGGGAGATGTGGCTCGTGGTAGCTGTTTGACCACCTGTCGGAGCTATCAAGTCGTTCCCTGCTGCGAGAGCGTCAGAAAGGGTGGCCGTTGAAACGCTGTGAGAGAAGTAACCGCTCGAGGCTTCGCTCAGGGGACTTGGAGGGCCCTCCTGGGAGTCCTGTGCTTGAATGTCTGCGGGGTGCTGCTGTGAAGGCACTTTGGGAATCTTTTCTTGGTTCCTTTCCGCCTCTTTCGATTGCGCCGCCACCTCAAACTGTTCCTTCCCCCCTTCTTGGGGAATCTGAAAAGAGGACAGGCATGAGATTATGGGATTCAAAACACTGGGGCTGATCATGCTGACATGTGGCCTTCTGGAATCATCTAACCCTCAGGTTTACCCAAATCCCGGCACGTTGGCAGAGCTGGACAGGGGCTTGTTGATTTATAGCCCGCTTTACCAACCTGACGGGATTATCAGTGCATTTCCTCCATTAATAAAAAAATAGTGTCCAGCAAAAGAAATATGTTCCCCAATATTTACTGAAAGATTATTTATATCACAGGAATGGTCATTTGCCTTTTGAAGGCAGAATTTATTTGAAGTGTGAAACAGCCATGATCTATACCTCTCTTACCGTTATTTGGCTTAATGCAGGATTGATAAATCATGCATTTCTAAGTAAACTGTCACTTATACCCCTGTTCCCAAATGCCATTCCCCCTTCAATACTGCCACCACCACACACTTTCAGAGTATGAAATTAACTGCACCACCTAGATTAACAGCCCATTTTAGTGATGTATTTCTTGGCTGTAAACTTTACTCTATATGATGGATCAATATTTTTTGCCAGCAAATGTACTCTAAAAGATTAGGATGTCTTTAAATCTTTTTTTTTTGGGGTGGGGAGTGGAATTGGAGGTGTAAGGAAGGCAAACTTGTATACAATTTTTACTAATTTACAGGTATATATTTTAATGTTCTGTTCTAAATTTGGATCCATTGGGGTGGAAAGTTACCTTGAGTTTTCAGAGTTAGAAAAAGACAGGGGTGACACTATCTTTATTAGACCAACCTCTGTTGGTGAGAGACAAGCTCTGGATCGAACAAAGCTCTTCTTCAGATCTGGGAATGGTATTTACTTAGTGTACCTGGTTAGCACATGTTGTAAGAGACCATTCTAGGTAGAATGGCCCATGAACACCTCTGCATTCTGACAAAGATGGGGTGTCTGGATGATAGATTTTTGTAATACCCATAAATACAGCGCGTCTGTTCAGTCCATGATTGGTACGGTCTAGCAGAGCAATGAATTTAAGTGCTCGGGCTCATCTTTTGAAAGCATTGTGTGGGTTTCCTTTGAGGATAAAGGCTGGTAGTGACTGCTCTGAAAAAAAGTATTCACCACAGCTGATCTGTTGTCTTTGTCTAGTGATTGTTTGGATTCACCCATCATCGCTACTGGGGCATTTAGTGCACCGCATAAGGTAAACGACAGGGGTCTCAAACTCAATTTACCTCAGGGCCAAGGCCAGACCTCAAATCCACCTCGGGGGCCAGTAACGTCACTGGAGATGTTAAAAACGTTTCTTGTATTTTTTTTACTTCTAATTTCTTAGCAAAGAAAAACCCTGTCACACAACTTAATACAATTCCTTGCCTGCCCAAGAATTGTTAGGATTTGCGGGGAAGAGAGGGGCTCATTCATGAGCTTTGAACTCTTGGGGCTGGCAACATAGTACGGCAAGTGGACAGTGTCTCCCCCTGGGTCCAGGAGCCCAGAAATCAGGATCTCATAAAAGACATGAAACTGAATGCTCACCCCGACACCCTCATGTCATCAGGCTGGTATGCATCCCCTTCCCCCGCTAACATTCGCATCCTCGCACTGAGATCCTTTCTGCCCTCACACTAACATTCGTGTCCTTGCACTAGAATCTCCTGCCCCGCCCGGGATAATGGAAAAGGAAACCCACTGGCTCCGCCCCGCTGGCTGCAAAGCACGTTTGCTCGGTTGATTCCCTGGTCAGCATTGTTCACGTCAGCCCGGCTTCCCAGAGCAAGCAGTGCCCACAGCCAGGGTGCTGAGGGCCTGCATGGTGCTGGGAACTGTGTGTGCAGGTGAGTCCGCGCTTACCACCCACCTCCCAATCCCTCTACCCACCCTCCCCCCCCCCCAAGGCCGGCAGTTGCACGGGCCTGATTCCATAACTTCTTCAAAACGTTTTGCAGGTCAGATGGGAAAACACACGGGCTGTAGCTGGCCCACAGGCTGAGAGTTTGAGACCTCTGGTATCCGACATATGGTGATGGGGTCTGATCCATCAGTCAGCCATCAAGAGGTGAGCGTGCATGGAGGTTCCAACAAAAAAGAGCATTTGCTTTCCATAAGCCACATGCTGACTGAGCATAGCAGGTAGCTTTCTGTGAGCAAATTAACCACTGCAAGCAACTGCAATTCTTTAAAAACTCCTTTCTAGAGATCTATTGCATTGTCTCATCCACCTTCCTCTTGGTGAGGGTCCCTTCTTTTCAAGCTATTCTCTACTGCTTTATAGAATCCTAGAGCTGCAAGAGACCTCAGGAGGTCATCAAGTCCAGCCCCCTGCCCAAGGCAGGACCAATCCCAACTCAATCAACCCAGCCAGGGCTTTGTCAAACCAAGACTCTAATCTCCAATCTAGTTTTAAATATCCCAAGGGATGGGACTTTCCCCCTCCCGTGAGGAGGCTGTTGGATGGGAAATATAAGTGGCCTCTAGAGAAAGCGGAATGTGATTGAATTAGTGGTGCTTCAGAACCAAAGACTAGCCTTCGATTGCTGAGTGAAAGGTACTACAGACGAGTTTCTGAAAACGTTATAGTCAATTAAAACATATTTGTAGCTCTTTTATGAGGAAGGGTGCCGTACAAGAAGATTTCATAGCTCTGTCCTTTCATTGGCTGCTCTCTTTTACATATGCTTTAACTTGGGGTGTAAAATCCTGTTTAACTGGTTAACCAATTAAAGGGGGCACCGGCAGGCCTCCCACTGGGCTGGAGAGCCCCCCTAACCTCACACACGGGAGGAGCTGCTTCAGCCCGGCCCTGTCCTCGGCATGCTCAGGAGTATCACTGGCAGGGACTGTTCTGGTTGTCTGGAGCAGCCCCTGCCTATACCAGGTGCCCAGGCTCGCCATGGATGGGGCTGCTCTAGACAATCAGAGAATCCCGTTAGCAGTGGGTCCCCTGAGGGAATGGAGCAGCCTCTGGCCCACGTCAGACGAGAAGCTGCTCCAGACCCTACCGTTTAACCGGCTAATTGATTCACCTTCCACATGCCTCACTTTAACACATTTTACTCGGACAACATAAGCACAAGAGGAGAAAACTGATTTGCTACTCATCGGACTGAAATTCTGCTGAATCGTGGGAGCTCGTAAGAGTGTTTTCTCTGCTGGCTCATGCTGGCCTTTTGCACATTGATACCCTGAATAAGAATGAAATGCAAACCTGAGAATCAAGCTCAACGTTCAGAAGAAAAGATCCCTTCTGTTTATGAACAGCAGCCCAGCCCAGCCACTTTCCTTTCCAAGCAGCTAAACTTAAGGGACTCACTTGCTAATGCAATCGTACAATTAGCACGGCTTTCAAATATTAAAGTGTAACTAGCAATGTAAGAGGCAAATTTAGTGGGACATAATGCACATTCCAGTTTCCATTCCAGTTAATTGTGGAAGTGAAGCAATGTTAAAATGGAAAAAGGTGGAAGGAATGATACCAGCAGTACCCTTTGCACACCACACGGCCATCGTTGTCTTTGGTTTCCAACCACAAGATACTGTGGCCTACGTAGGGGGCCTACCTGTTTTATCTTTGCAGCACTGGCATCAATACTGGCCGACTGAACCATAATGCGTGGGACAGGCTGAAGGGATGAAAAAAACAAAAACAACCACCAGCATTATTCACTTAAAGGACAAAATATTGCTGAACTAGTTTAACTGAAGAGGAAAATCTACATTTTGTATTTAGAATTCTGGGATAACGAACAGTCTTTAGTCAGAGAGCTTTGCATTTTTTTAATGGACTTGGCTGACACTTTCTCTGAGGGGACTAATGAATGTAACGAGAATGACTCTGCATTTATACATGACTGCATTTATACACAGACACACACACGAGAGCTGCATAGGGCAAAGCTTTCCAGTGCAAATAAAGATTTCTGTGGTGTGGCTGTTTCTCTGCCTGCCTGCCTACCAAACAGATCAAAGTAGGAAGTAAACGAAGAGGAGTAGCCTGTGCTACTTTAGAGGACATCACCGAACAAGCAGACAGATTCGCTGTTCGAAGTGGATGAACATCTTAGATTTCAACCTACCTAAATCCCTGCCAAAACGTTCTCCTGGTTTACAGCATTAGTCTTACCAAGATTTTCAACACCCATGTGCTCTGAGTCTGTAAGAAACTACATTCTTGGCAGTTCCTTTGAAAACCAGCACTACAGCTTATAACAAGCAGGACGCTAAACTGAAAAATATGTGCAAAGTGGGTGAGGCAGTATCTTTTACTGGACCAACGTCTGCTGGAGAGAGACACAAACAAGCTGTCATGCTTATGCAGAGTTCGCTTTCAGGTCTAGGAAATGAAGAAAATGTCACTGCTAAATATATGACATTAATAGCATTAATAGTTAACACATTCCAAGGGGGACCATTCAAGAACTGCTAACACCCCTCCAGTCACAGGGAAGAAATGGGGTGAGGGATTACCAATGGGCTACAGATTATCACAATAAGACAAATCTAGTGTCTGTTCAGTCCATGATTTGTATTGTCTGGCAGAGGAATTAATTTAAGCTCTATTCTTTTCCGTCCGTGTGCAGAATAAGTGTGTGCCCCGAGCCATGCGCTAAGGTGTACCACCAGTAGAAACACAAAGCTTAACTCTGGGTGCTCTGCTAATCATCTGGGAGGCATCTAATCTCTCCTGAGTGGCTGTGCAAGCCAACAGCTTACAAGGAACACTGTCCCAGGTTCATCTTTTGAAAGTGTCACCAAGGAGGGAATAGGCAACTTCTGGCTGGGGCTGAAGAACTGTTGGTAACTCGAGCAACGAGTTCTTGCAAGATCTAGAACTGTCCCAGGCTAGGTATGTTTGTGCTGTGACTAGGTTGATGGAGGCGCCTGTGAAGTCCAGGGACTGCCTGGGGTCCAAATTTGATTTTTCAACACTGACTCCAAGGGAGGAACAGAGTCTGACCAACATGGAGGTTGAAATCTGGGATTTGTTTCTGGATCATGCTGTCAGGAGTCAGCTGTTGAGACACAGGAATACAAGGATTCCATAAAGCCAGAACTTGGCCACCATGACACTTAAAACTTTGGTGAAATCCCAGGGAAAGTGATGAATCCAAATGGCAGGGCCTTGTACTGACAATGATGAGAGTCCACTGTAAGCTTAGGAACCATCAGTGGGTCAGATGTTTTTGGTATTAGGAAGTAAACGGCGTAGAATCTGCCCCCCCCCC